GTAAAAGATTCTAAGATTAGTTCAAAAGACAAGTATAACCTGGTCAAATTAAATTACGTTTCAATATTAAAGAATTAATTGATTATAAAAATCTTGCTATAAATTCAAAAATAAAGGATCACGCTATACGATATTTTAATTATTGTATTGTAATCATGTGAAGGTTACACGCTATTTTCAAACTGGTTTCAAACTTGGATCTTTATTGGATCAGACCAGACAGGATCAGACCGGACACTTAACATCCCTACTGCTAATTAGGGTTGTTAAGTAGTTCATTTGGACGAGTTTCAAACTAGTTTCGGACTAGACTTTTAAGGTTCAGTTCAGAACTAATTCAAAACTAGTTCTTATAATTATCAATAAAATAATCAACAATATATTAAACCTATCTATATATAGCGATTTTCACAATAATGATAATTTTTTTCTAATCATGAATAACTGTTCTATTTTTTCTTATTGATAATTGTTCTTTTTGTTCAATTATAATCGAAAAAAATTTTTTTCTTTATTTTCATAAGTATAAAATTATCGTTGTTATTTTCAAAATTGATTAAATTATGTCTTTTGACGAAAATATTGAATTCTCACAAGATTCCATATCTCTATATGAAGTCTCTTTATTGGAAAAGGATTTTTTAAGCAATAAACAAAATAGTAACTCTAACAAAATCAATATTGAAAGACAAAATAAACATATTTCCAAGCGATATAAAAGTGCACATCCTCTTTAGAGTTACTTCAATTGGTCCTCAGATCGAAAACATGTTTATTGCAGTTTATGTAATGCCTGTTATGGAAACAAAACTGGAATTAGTACACTTAAGTGACATTTTGAAAACAACCACAAAGTAGAATATAAACAACAACAGCAATCATCAACTTTACGAACTATAGAATATTATGACATTTGTGATGAAAAAAAAGTTAAAAAATTAAATGAACTTTTACTTCGCTGGATCATTTGTAATCAGTAAGCATTTTGTATTGTTGAAGATGAAAACTTTCGTGTATTAATTTTAGCTCTTGATCCACAATACAAACTTCCTACAAGACAAACAGTTTCAAATCATATTTGGCAATTATATAAGCAAGAACAAGAACAACTACGCAATTATTTTGAAAATCTTAATTGCAAGATTTCAATAACAACTGACATTTGGTCCTCATGTATAAATCAAGCATTTCTTTCAATTACTTTACACTGGATTAATGATGAATGGTGATTTCAACATATTCTTCTTGACTTTATTCCTCTTCATGAACAATATACAGGTATTTTCTTAGCAGAAACTATTTTCAAAATAATTGAAAACTTTGATTTAGGAAAAAAAATTATATCAGTAACTGCTGATAATGCTAGTAACATGGATACTTGTGGACAACTTCTTTCTAACATATTAGAATTACATCATGGAAGTACTATTTTTTGTAAATTACGATGTGCAGCTCATATACTCAACCTTGCTGTTACAGATAGTCTTTCAGTAATTAAGGAATCAACTAAAAAGACACGAGAATTTGCAAGTTATATTCGCCGTTCTTAATCATATTTAGAAGAATTAAAAAAAATATTTGAAATAAGAAACAAACCATTTTTAATATTTGATCTTAATATCGAAACACAATAGAACTCAATGTACCTAATGTTAGATAAATTATGTAGAATTAAAGAAATAACAGATATATTAGTGAATTCAGCACTGCAACTTAAACATTTATATATGACAGATCAGAAATGGTATAATATTAGAATTATAATGAAATTATTAGAACCTATCTATGAAGCCACCAAATTACTTTCCTCTTTGAGCCATCCAACTATTGGAGATTTACATACAGTATTTTTTGTAATTATTACACATCTTACTGAAGCTAAAAATGAGCAAGATTCGATCAAATCATATATTTCTAAGAAAATTCTTGAAAAACTTAACAAATATTGAAATGAATTACGAACATACTTTCCTGAAGCAGTATTACTTGATCTGACAACCAAATTTTCAACTTTTAAATCTAATTTTGAAAAACGAAAAATATATCAAATAATTAGCAAAACATATCAAAATTATATTTCATCTATTGAAAATATAAACAAACCGATTTTAGAATCCAATCCAATAATTTCAACCCGTAGTTATTTTAGACATCAGATTAAGCAAACTTATAATGATATATCTGCTGTTACACTTGATTTTCGCCCAAGATCTTTACTACCCCTTGACCGATTTTCACTAGCATTGACCCTTGAAATGTTAGTTATTCTAGAATAGTCTTGTATTACAGATC